GGAGCTGGGTTCCGACTATCAGCTTGTGGAGCGACCGACGTTTTCCACCCGTTTCTCCCCTCCCCGCTCGGTGCATCTCTGTCTGATCGCGGCTTCTGTCTGCTGCGCGGGCTGCCGGCTAGTGAAGTTCTGGATGGAAACCGATGTTTTCCACCCGTTCTCCCCTCCCCGCAGCTCGGCGCATCTCTGTCTGATCGCGGCTTCTGTCTGCTGCGCGGGCTGCCGGCTTGTGGAGCTCTGGGATGGAAACCTTTCCACCCGGTTCTCCCCAGGGGCAGCTCTGCACATCTCAGATCGCAGTGGCACTTGTCTGCTGTGCGGCTGCCAGCTTGTGGAGGTCTCGGAGACCTCTGTGTTCCACCCGGTTTTACCCAGCGGTCAGCTCGGCGTATCTCAGAAGCTCTGGTGTTGTGCACAGTTAACTCTGGTTGTAGGTTGCTACCTCCGTTAGCTTAGCTCCCACCTCCGCATTAGCTTTGGGTTAGCTTCAGGTTAGCTTGTAGCTAGTTCAACCGGGTGTTGTCAGTTGATCCCAGCCTTACAGCCCCACCCTCAGCTCCACCTCTCTTCCTTTTTGTGGAATTGTCTGGGCTTGACGGAACCTGTGACACGGTCAAAATGGTGGTGGTGGCCACCTCCCATTTGGCCTAAAAAACATGTTATTAGAGCCTATGGAAACCCATTGTCCAATATGTATATGCCGATGGCTGCTATACATCTTCGCCTAGCCTCCCCCTGCCACATTTGATGTGGAGTGTGGTGCCTTGGTCTGCCTGAGTGTTCGTGGCTCCCGGGTCAGGGGGTTTAAGATTTTTTGGAGTCTGCCTGATCGATTCCGGTGGCTGCCTGGTGGGATCTGAGTCCCTGGGCTCTGTTGGGTCCCCGGCGGGGCCGGTTGCTCCTGGGTCCCAGGTCGCTGGGTTCCGGGCTCGGCCGGCTTGGGGGTGGGAGGCTGCGGGCAGGTCTGTGGGCGTGCCGCTGATATCTCCTGGGACCCCCCGGAGCGATCCTCTGCGCCTCTCGAGAGGGGACTGGGGCTTTTCTGGTTGCAGTCTCCCTGGGGTCTCTGCACTCTGGGGCAGTTCCTGGATCTCTGGGACTTGGAGCTCCCTCCATCTCCTACACATCTTTGGGGGGCAGATCCGTCTCCACTCCCACTCTCTATTAGACGCTCCTATAAAGAAACCTTACATATGCAAGCGCGCGTACACACAGGTGCTCATATGGTGCTCTCATAAGTATGGACTTGGGCATTTTCAACACAAGTCTTAAGGCTGTGGCTGGCACTAAATACACTGTGATTTATTATCGTGATTGTTCAGTAAAACAATGTTGATTTAATAGTTCATCAGGTTGACGCAGTGATAGCGTGCTCTTGTTGTATTGTTGTGTGTCCCTTTTCTGCAGGTCTAGAAGCAGACTCTTGTTCATCATTGATTGTTTAGAGAGTTTATTATTAGATCAGAAGGCAGCCATGTGCAAGAGTAAAGGTGTAGAACAATCAACACATTTGCAGTGGTCTCTAGTAGGAATGAATGCCTAGTAAGCCATATTATGGGGAAACAAAGCTCTGGTGCACCAGTTTCAAGAAGTAAAAGCAAGCCACATCAGGGTTCAGCTTCAGACGGCAGGATTCAGAATCTTATCTCTTGATATTTGGATATTTTGCCCCAGATTGGATAACAGCAACACTACTCTACTCAAGTTTGCTCTGCAACGTTAAGGGCTTATCTTCACAAATAACACAAGCCTGAAGGAGATCTGCTGTGTGGTGGAGTTGCTAATGCTTATGGTTAGCTTCTACTAACTAAAATGTTCTCTGCCATTTCCTGAACACCAAACCAACAACATTCTAACCCATTGCAAATCAAGGTGGGCAAGCCCATGAATGTCAAATGACAGTGTGACGTAGATCTGTCAGGCTTTTCAAATCCTTGAGTTTCATCGTCTATTTTCTATTACAAGGGAATGCAGGAGATAGGTGTTGGAGACTGTTTTCATGTTGAGCCTGCATAAAAAATTCAGAGTGACTGATTATAATTAGAAATAATAATTTCAAAAGGCTTTTCAGTGTTCCACATGTTTAAATGACTCATCTTGTGTTGTTACCAAGATCAAGAAATCCTGACTTAAAGTTTGGAGACTCCATGAAACTCAATAATTATTTCCTCCAAATTAAACACGTCTTGTAGACCATCTCTGCCTGGTACTGTGAATGTTTATAAGTGCTTAAATTATTCTGCAAGTCAAACTTTAGGTGTAAAATACTTAAATATCACCAATATTTATGGTTAAATTTTCAATCTCATCAAGTAGGGATGCAAAAAAATTAACCAATACCAGGGATTGATACCAATGCAGTTGCCTGAAAATGGCTTCACTGCAGCTTGTCATTGCTGTTTACCTAATATTTTGGTTTTGTAATAATTTCTATTAATATATTTTATTTTTTATCCACCTCACAGTCTTTTCCTGTTTTTTGTGTGTGGTAGAAGTATCGGTATTGATAAATCGGTATTGGTAATCGATATCGGTGAGTGCTCAGATCCAAGTATCAGTATCGTATCCGTTTGGAAAAAAGTGGGATCATCGCATCCCAATCACCAAATAAACAAGCACTATTCTAAGTCGAGTTCAAACTTTATTCTACTAAAAAGGAAAAAAAAATGTAAATTCATTTTCCATGAGTCACTTCTTCTGAGCTTTTTTGGCAGATTTTACCCAGATTTAATTTCCAGCAGTAAGATTTGACACTAAACAGATGCAGGGTTAGAACTTTTATTTCATATGTCTTTTTTATTTAATTGAAATGCATTTTTTAACCTTTCCTGTCCTGTTAGTTGAACCAGACAGAATGATTGATCTGGGTGACATTTTACTCTACAACAGAAGGGTTGTGAGATACTCCTCCTGTTGCACAGTTGCCTTTATTGTGTTTGTAACTTGATAGACCGCATCCACTTAGGCACCGGAGTGGACAGGCAGAGAGAAAAGAGACACAAACAGAGAGGGAGAGGGGAGTGGGAGGACAACTGGGATGATAACAATGGCAAAAACAGAAGCAGGACAAAACAGTGGGGTCATCATGGAAAGCTGTGTTACGGCTCTAAGCAGTTTGCATGAATCACTATCTGGTTGTGGGTGTCGATATGAGGATTCATCATGTTTTTTGTTTTTAAATGCTGTGTGTGTGATGAGGGAGGGGCTGTCCCGCAATAGCCTGGGTCTCACCAGTGCCAGAGACAGGTGGCCATACATACCCTGCAGCTGAAAGCCCCCGAAGGATGGACCGACAGCAAGACTAGAGAACAGCCCCAAGCCCAGGTAAGAAGTGGAGTCTGCCAGAGGATAAAAGGACACCAGCCCCCGAGCAAAGGGAACCCAATTGGGGCCACATCCTAAAAGGTTTCCCCCCCCCCCACCAATCCCCCATGAGGGGTCACCAAGCCAAGTCAACCAGACCCCATCCCAGAGTGGGTGCAAGCCCTTGAACTGCACCCCCAACCCATGATGAGGATGGTGGATGAAGAAGACACCCTTGGCCATGAAACATGGGGGACCATGCAGCAAAGGGACCCCTCTCTCTGTGGCTGGCCACCGAGGCAACAGGAAGCACAAAATGCTGCAGCATGGACCACCATCCCCAAACCATACTCCAACAGGTGGGCAACTAAACTCACCCAGCCACCCCGCAATGTCCCCCAAGCCCCACAGGAATCTCCAGGTTACTTACCCCCCCCCCCAACCAACCGAGGGCGGAAGCAGCAGAAATGGCACCTTCACCACTGCACTCACTCATGAGAACAACAACTGAGTGTATGCTGTGCAGGCTGGTGTGTGGTAGTGTAACTAATGTGCAATAAAACTTGGAAAAACGGTCCCCACCAGGGATCCTACTAGTTGCATACAGCACTATCACCCTTCTTCTTCAACTGGGGGGCAGGATAAGGGCTGGGACAGGAGGCTGGAGGGAGAAACCAAAGTTTGGCACCCTCGCCCATTTGACATCTACCCCATTCTTGTGCCTAAACACCTAAATCCCTCATGTTGTATACCTGAGGGGAGTGGGGCAGCAGGGGTCACACCATTAATTGGAGGGGTTCTTGATTACTCCCATTTCAACTGGCATCTGTGCCCTTTCTCAGCAATCCTGTGGTAGCTCAAAGCTGTGAATATTTATCAAACGTTTTTTATGATGTCCAAACTTATAAAAATGTCTGGAATTCTTTGTGGCACCACAAAGGTCTTGTATGTTTTTCCTCCTCTGTCATTTCGCATGTTGTCTTCAGTGGGACCCATGCATGAGTCCAAGTATGTAAGCATAGCTGAAATAGTTCCTGATGAACTTTCCCACAACATTTTCTCTCTTTAATTCACTGAAGTCGTTCCAGATGCCCCGACTCCCCCCTCCTCAGTTTTGTTAGTGGAAGAGAATAGTTCAGCAGAGGTCTTAGAAACCCCAAAATATGTATTTTACTCCCATTTTTCTGCATGTTGAGACAAACTGATCTCCATTCAAACTAAAGGTTGCGATATTGTTCTGAAACAGTGGTATATTTGTTTTTTCTTTAAACAATCTCTGAATAAAATGGCTTTTAAGTATAATGCCATTTACGCTCCAAGACTGACCTTTGTAGCTTACACACTCCCTGTTATAAAAATGTCAAAGCCAACTGAACCCTGCCTTTCCTGTCACGTGCAACACACAGCCTGCAAAGCCATTCTGTGGCATTGAAGACCAAAAATCCAACAGGGGAGGCAAAGATTTTTAATTTATTATTCTAGCAAACTGGCCAGTGCAGTTCAAATAAATGTACTCCATATAATGGAAAAACAAAACCTTCAGCTGTGTTTTCTGAGTTTCTAGAACTCCGGCTACAGATGCACAACAGCTTTACTGTTGTGAAGCCAGTTTGAGCACCATGTACCCAAACAATAACCAGAAATCTAAATATTAAATTTGAGGAATCAAGTATTAGGGGATTTTGTTAGAAACTAACCTGAGACAGCGGTCTGGGCAGCTGGTTTCTTTCCTCTACGGACCACGAACGCAGCTGCAAACTGCAAAAAAATAAATAAATAAAAAATGAAAGGAGAAAAGTCCCTGAAACATTTGTTCTATTTGACTTTTCCAGTATTCATAAACCAGTAACATCTTTCTGAGTCAGAGCACTTGTTGTAATTGCAACTTCAAGAAAAATGTTAACAATCATCATGTTCCCTGCCAGTTCCAACTGTGATGGGGTTAACAGCTGATCAGACACTTGCCATCATTTTATCCAAGCTATGCTTACTAGCTTGCACTTGAAGACAAAGGTCACCATAAAAAGTAACAAGGATTACTTTTACTTTATTGTATTACAATAAACATGTTAAAGGGGACATTTTTTCTTAAGTTATAATAGTACCATAGTCGATACAACACATGTTTATGAAGTTCTCTGCACTAAATCCCTCTCACATGAAGTAGTCTCAGCAGTTTTATTCCTGGCAGTTTCAGTGCCTTCCAGAATGAGCCATTTCATGGCTTTGTGAATTGAATGGCCCTTCTCATTGCTGAGCACAGGTCAGTTCAGCTAAACTTGACTCAGCTCAGCATGGTTTACTCCTCCAAGTCAAACTGAGACATGGCTCTAGTGGGTGGGCTCGTCATAGCCCGTGTGGGGAGACGTGGACACCCACAGGACTTGTGATCTTTACACAGCACAAAAGGAGTGCAATGTCGTATGTATGTAACTCAAAAACACAACAATAGTGTTTATGTAGAACATTTTGCCCAGTCTTTGGCATTTTGTGAGACTCTGAACCCAGAAATCAGCTGCAGGCAACAGGGGAAAATGCTGGAGCAACCTGTGACTCCACTCCCTAGCCAATCAGTGGCTGACAGTTGCTGATGTCAGGTTTTTGGACTGGCTCAGCATGCCAGGAACCACAACAAAGCAGGTACTGAAAGGTTCAGGGAAAAATACTAGACCACGCTCTTGGAAAAGGCTGTCAAATCAAATCAAACCCAAACAAGTTACACTGAGTAGTGCTGTTGGAAAACCCCCATAAGAAAACAAGCTGGAGCTGACCACACCCACCCCTCTACTGCTCTGGCTGCTATAAGCTGAGAAGCTCTGATATCTGAGAGGGGCTCAGAGTAGAGCCGCTGCTTTTCCAGCAGCAGCTCACTGTTGCATGTGAAAGGTGTTTCTGTTCTAGTTTCCTTTTTGAAAACTGCTAGTTGTTAAGACAGAATTCCTGAAATTAAACACCGACAGAATAAAGATGGACTTTATTGGGGGTGTTAACGGAGGCAGACCAACATGGCAGCACAAAAGTGTGTGAAAGATTAGTTTTGCATAATATGTCCCCTTTAAACCTTTAGTAAATTAATCAAAGTTAGTTAAAGACACCTTACACCTAAGTCAACAAACTCGTCAATGCAAATGAAACAGCATATAATTACTCTTGCAGACAAAAACCACATGTTAAAATTGTAATGTTAATAGCTCATTTTCAATAATATTCCTACATATCCCAAATCAAATGTCACCGAGTTCAAATGTAATACAAAGGAAAACTAAATGAAGCTTTCAATAACCTGCTGTTCCACCTAAAAGTTAAAACACACATAAAACCTCTCGGTGAGTGAACAAATGGCCCTGTACAGAGAAACCTCAGTGAATGTTCCACATTCTGCCTTTTGTCAAAGTGAATGCAAACAAAGGAATGTGATATCCTGTGCACATCTTTTGCTTCAACGGCACTACCCTGTGGCTCCCCTTTCAGTGTGTTACTCTCTACCTATTGACCTGCCTGCTGCGGTATCAAGAGAGCACTTGCTACAGCCTTTTGTCCAGATGCAGGCTCATTTGTGCAATGAATGGTTCTGAAATAGTATCTTCTGTTCATCTGAAGAGCTGAGCTCTAAAACATCTTTTCAGACCGTGTTCACGCCGATAGTCCAAAGTGATCTTTAGAGCAACCTAGATGTGTTGATAAATGCAAATGATCCTTGAAGTTGGTAGATTTGTGTCTGCAGATGACAACCGTTGGGAATTAATGTGATTTAACCAGATGTTTGAACACTGAATGATTATATTAGAAGTAATAGAAAGGAGGATCTACCTCTTGTTCACAGTCGGCGTAAGCCGGTCCTTCCCGGCGGGGCTGCCAGGAGAAATGGATGAGAGCGATCTCGGAGACATGAAGGTAGGGCTGGGGATCGTGTACTCTCTGTAGTTCTGGTTCTCATCTCGGCTCACTATCACAGACTCCTGGGTGTATTTCATGTCAGGCATAAGTTGAGTAACAGAAACACAAAAACATACTTTAAATGAATCAGGATGAAAAGACTGAAGAAGTTGGTTTCAACAATACGTAGAAACAAGTAGTAAATTCTTATTATGTCTTGGTCTGCTCCCCTCAGGTGAACAGTGGAATAAAATGATATGTGATAAACAGATGTGTAATGTATGCACAGGAAGAACTGAAGCAGAATATCCCCCGCAGTCATAAAAAAATAAATCATGAAAATAAAAAAATGTATAAAAAGGTTTTGGGGGTTAGTGAATGAAAGTACATTTGGGGGGCATCAGTTTGTCTTGATTTTTGATTTTGTGTAATCAGGAGAAAATATAGAGAAAATGAAAGTCCATGAGGAGCCTCAGCACTGACCTGGAAGCGCCCGGTGAGTTGTTCAGGAGTGTTGATCCCGTTGGTCTGTCCAGGGCTGGAAGGTTCAGGTCTTAAAAGGAAGTAAACCAAGAGATTCAGACTCACAGTGACATTAAATCTGGAGCCATGCACCCAAGTTGAACGTGTATCCTGCTTGCTCCTCTGATTATATTCTAAATTGAATTATAAACAAGTTGATGTGCTCAAATTACGAAATATGCTCAAGACCATTAATTTGCTGAGTGAGAGGAAAGTAGTGGCTCTTCTAAAGACTACAGGACTAAGTACACTTCATTTCAAGTTTTTGCTAATTCAAATTGTTTTTAAATATCTTCGTGTCTGTTTTTGTTGTTTTGATGATTCTTGGAGATTACTAAATATAAGTTCTGCAGACTCCATTTCCCCTTACAATGTCATCTAACCATTATTAAATGAAGGAGAATCTGGGCAGAATAAGTGCCAATGCAAACATTGAGTGGCCTCCTGGCTGCAAGGCCAAAGGCTGACAGCTTCTTGGTCGAGTCCGAGGTAATGAGGCGCACAGGAAGGCTGAGATGCCTGTGGTAAATCACCCTGAAGGAACACCTCTAGTGGCCTTATCTCCACATGCTCCTTGCAAAGATAACATGGTGTGAAGATGACAACTGATACGGCATCTGGATGCCATGGCTCCCCAGTGACCCATTGTAGGTATGAAAAACTAGATTTGAACCAGACCCTGCAGAGCTGCACCCTGCCATTGCAGCTTTAAAGGTCTAGTTTCAACCACATATTTCATGACAGCATTTTAGACCAGTCCACAGACAATGGCCGAAAGATACAAATTTCCTTTTTCTAACTAGTCTTTAACTCAAAAAACTAGGGATGAGCCGTATCCGGTACGGATACAGCATTTTTGATGATTACGAACGGGAAACGAGTAAAACTCGTAAATGGTGGCATGGTGGCGCAGTTGTTAGCACTGTTGCCTCGCAGCATGAAGGTTGCAGGTTCGAAACTCGGCTGCGGCCTTTCTGTGTGGAGTTGCGTGTTCTCCCCATGCATGTGTGGGTTTCCTCCGGGTACTCCTGTTTCCCCCACAGATCACAACATGCCCTATAGGTTATAAACTGTAAGTCACTTTGGATAAAAGCGTCTGCCAAATAAACAAACAAAAATAAACATAAACATATCTGTAATCGTGCTGAAGGAAAAACCTCATTGGGTAACTGACTGTCTTCTGTGATTGGCCAGTCACATTGAGCGCCCGCCCCTCCCTACACACAAAAACTCTGCAGCCGGGAGCTCAGTCCGTCCGGCACATCCACGCACACACACAGACAGTAACGGATCTCTCTGTGCTTGCTTCACTGTTGCTCACGTTTCTTCAGTTCTCCCTAGGTTTACCTCAGCTCGCCTCTTTTTCGGTTGAATATTTAGTTACTTTTTTCGTAACTTACTTGGTGCATTTGACAAGACAGAGCTGACGTGCTGCGTCAGTCACTGACTCCACTCCGCAAGGCCGGATTAACCATATGGGCAACTGGGCAATTGCCCAGGGGTCCACAAACTCTAAAGTGCACAGGCCCAGGGCAGCAAGGGCATGAGCAAAATACTGTATCTGTAATCTCCCGCTTTATATTCTAGAGTGACCATACCTCCTCTTTTCCCCGGACATGTCCACATTTCACTCTCTGTCTGGGGCGTGCGGGAGGAGTTTCTTGTATTGATGAAAATGTCCGGTTTTTCATCCAGGAGCAGGGATTGAAAAATGGGGGAGCTGGATATCCTACACATCCAGGGGAGCCGGAAAAAAACGTTTTCTACCTATATTACATCATTTATGGACTCAGCGTTGTTGGTGCTCTCCAGGCTGCTGCGTCCAGCGCACGGTCCTTACTCAAAGTGGAGCAACCAAAAAACTATAATTAACACACATGTCCACTCATGTTCTCTACTTTCTGTCTTATTTGTGCCTGTGAAGCGCTCTGCTACTGCGGAGCTCATCACATGTGCTGCGGTGATTTCACCTCACTGACGCAGCATCGAAACGCGCAGTCCGCTTTGCGGTCAGGAGATCCTTTTGATCTGCTCAAAAGTAACTGATGAGGTGAAAAAGTAAGAATCCAGGCAGCAATTTTTCTGGAGAATTTAGAGATGCAGGAAGATGAGAGACAGACAGGGCAGGAAAATAGTTAAATAAAAACAAAAATACACAATGTAGGTAGATTTATCTCCACTACACGTTTTTACCTGTGTAAAACAGTAAGTTATACACATGTAATATTTAAACATCTGATACAATTCAGATCACCTTTAAAGCTCAGTCACACACCCAGGGCCGTTTCATGACATTTTGGGGGCCAAGGCAAAACAGAACACCCCCCACCCCTACAACTGGGCTCCCCAGAAGCCTCTGTGTAATCCATACCCTGTCCAGGAGTGTTAATTATACAGTGTTTGTAAAAGCCCCTCAGACATTACTGACATGTTCTAATATTATCAGATGAAAAACTAAATTATCAGACATGCCGTCTCATATTTTCTAAACTTGCAAAAACAAAAAGTAACAAAACCATTTGAAAGCCACTATTTGTGGATTCTCTGAAAGTTTCCATGGAGTGTGTGACAACTTATTTTTTCATTGATCCTATCGTCTAATCTCACAGCTGAAACAAGCATCCTTAATAATCTGTGCACAGGAAGCTTACCGATGCTGTAGTAAAACTAAAGTTATAATTTATTATTAATAAAACCTTGTTGCAGCACTAAAGCAGAAAAATGAGATTTTGCAATAAATATGCAGAATTCAGAGCCGCTGGGTTCCGGTCTTAGCGGTCTGGCAAGGACCCGGCCTTGCTAGACCGGCGAGGACCCATACTCATAAGCATCCTGCCCGTGGATTTGGGCACACCCACAGATACAGATAATTTAGATGGTTGAACAGATACAGATAGTGGTGTACTCACTCATCCCTACTAAAAACTTTAGAACAATGACTCATGAACATCATCCAAATTAGTATTTCAAGTGGCACATGTAACTTGGCTTTTCTGATTCTTGACGTTCCACTTCTCATCTCCTCAGATAAGAGTGAGCAGAATGATGAAGATGCCAATGTCCAACTCCAAAAGCATGCATGTTAGACTATCAGGCTACCCTCAACATTCTCTAGATGTAAAACTGTCTTCTTTAGCGTTGTAGTCATCCTGCAATTAACTGATGACTTGCTATGCAGCCTGACTCCTGCCCATCGACTGCTAGAGAGAAATGTTTTTAATGTTTTTGTTTTTTATTGCATGGTGCATATTGTACTTGTTTTAACTATTTTTCTTAGTATTTTTAGCGGATGCCTAATGTGGAGCTCTAGGAAATTTCGTTGAATGTGCAATCATTTAATGACAATAAAGGATATCTAATCTAATCTAATCTAATCTAATCTAATCTAAAAGTCACCTTAAGGGCCTTAACTATAATCAACATCACTGCTGTGTTTGGACCAAAATGGTGATCAGCAGGAAAAAAAAAGTCTCCCAAGAAATAAACATCTGATTTGTTCTTTCTAATTACAATCTGTGAGTATAATTAATGGTTAAATGCAAAGGGGTCGCACTAAACAGAAGGCTGTGAGGATGGGCTGCAGAACACCACTGGGGTATTGTCCTGGCCAGGCAAGGAGAATTAGTGCTTCTGACTTGGTAGGAGACATGAGGTCAGAAAGGAAAAATTCTCTCACGTGGACTTAGGACATCCGAGAAGGAAGTCTATGGAAACAAGTGTGTGTGTGCGTGCGTGCGTGTGTGCGTGTGTGTGTGTGTGTGTGTGTGTGTGTGTGTGTGTGTGTGTGTGTGTGTGTGTGTGTGTGTGTGTGTGTGTGTGTATGTCATAAGAAAACAACACTAACAAAAACAGTTTGATGGGTGGGTGGCACAACAGGGACCGCATGAGAATTTAGGAAGGAACTGTAATCAGAAGGCCGGCCAACAGCAGCCCTGGCTTGAAGTAAAAGTGTTTTTGTAGCCAGCGGGTTGTCATTTGAACAAGGTCTTAGTAAATCCCAAAGCAAGGCCTTTAGGCGGGACTGAGGAAAGGAACAGTGTGGTTCTCAAACATGCTGGTATTTCCCCTGATCACAATCACTTTGTTTGTACAGTGCTTGTCTGAGAGAGGTAAAAACATAAAAAACAGCATAACGACTGTAGCCTTGAGACAAATGGAAAATCTGAGTTGTGACACGATGCAGAAGGCAGTGCAATTTTGTTTAAAACTCAAAAATGCACAGAAAAGACAGCTGTAGGTAAATGCACACATTCTATTCCAAAGGCAGCTCTGCATGCTTGCATACCTCTCCACCACCAGCTGCAGCTGGGTCTTTGAGTTCTTAATTTTGTTCTGGACCTCAGCATTCAGCATGTCGGCTGTGTTTTCCCCATTGATCTCCAAGATTATGTCCCCAACCTGAAGGTCCGCGTCCTCCGCCTTGCTGCCCATATTGACCTGCTCAACAAAACAAAGAGCTCCAGTTAGCAAGTGTAATGTCCTCAACATAATCCTGTGTAGCAGTGATATAATCTAAACACGAGTGACACGAGATCTTGGAAGTGTGTGGGTGGTTCAACCATTCAAAAAGAAAAATAAAGAGGTTTTAAAGTGCTCCAATTCTCTGTCCAATTTCCTTTCAATATGTCAGAGAGCTTAAACAGAGAGAGAGAAAAACAAGAGAGAGCTGTGCTGATCAACAGTAGACTTATTCATGATGCTCGTGTAGCAACCACTGACGTGACATCACTGCATGGTTTGATGGGCCCTGACCTTTGAAGAGCCTCGCCACATGTAAAGCCAGTATTGGACAACCACAGAGGGAATTCCAGGCTAATGGGCCGAAACATTACATCGGTTTCTTTCACTGCTTTCACAATCAGCAGACAGAGCTACTGACATCACAACGTACTGTTTCAAGTCCTGTAGGTTCAGTTCTGAAGTCTCAAACCAAATGGAACACTAGGGAAGCGCCATGTCACACTGACCATGATAACGCAGATAAATATACGTGTCATCCAACAATATCATTGATACGACGACACAGTGAGAACAACACGTCAGGGTTAAAGTGCTGCGTAATCTAGTAACACAGAAGCTGGAGCACAACAAGGTCATAAAGGCAGCTGACTAAACACATCACAGCTGGGTCACTTGGAAGGATGGAAATGCAAAGCAATTTATGAACAACACTAATGGAGTTACATACCAGCAATCTGTTAACAGTATCTATATTTTAACTAGGGGTAAATTTTTATCTGGCGATACGATAAATATTACAATACAGGGGAGACGATACGATATATATTGCCATACTTAAAGACAGACAATAATTGTTAATTGGAAAACTCAGGCTAGATACTTATTATCGCAAGATCTCGTTGTTCTATCAGAATGAAGGAGTTAAAACTGCTGCCACCTAACAGCAGACGTTTGAATTGCACCACACAAAGAGAAATACAGTGAATGTTTGCATCAACAAAATCAATTCAGTGTCGTAACACGGAATATCATGATAGTTCTGTATCAATACTTCCTAATTTTGACATAATGTTTGACTATAAAGCTGCAGTTGCAGGGTGCATGAAGTAATTCATCGTTCTGCAAACAATTATGCATATAAAATACTTGCATGACTAAATTATTGTACCTTCAAGTTGCAATTACAAATCAAACATTTTTGCTATATAGGGAGCCTAAGTCACACCTATTCTACCTCCGGACCGCGGGTCACCGGAAAAGAATGCAAGTCAATGGAGCTACAAACGCTGTTTCCTAATTCCGCTTGTTATGTGCCATATTTCACATATGATGTTCGTGAATTTTAGAGACACATTTTGATACCAAGAAAGAGCTTTTTTTTTTTTTTTTCAAATGGAGGGAACCTTTATTTTAGGTTTTGTGTGAAAATAAGGTCCAGGACTACAAATGCACATCACCAAAGTAACGTCACCGAACCAGACACGGAGAAAAACAAGAAAAAAGGAGAGAACATGGCTGTAAGTTGTTAAAAGAGTGCCACAAATTTCCAGGGACTATTGTGATAGGATGTTGAGGTTACCACCCCTACATACATCAATAAAGAACATGTAAACAAAAACAAATAAACAATCAGAAGTCCTTTTTCCTGCCTCTTTAGATCAGTGCAAATGCAGAATGCCAGTCAGCAGAGTGTTTGTGAGTTTAGCCAACGTGCCATGTCAGTGGGCTTATTTAAGAGGCTAATGGGAGTTGCTGTGGTGACCTAAAAAGTGATCCAGTCACGCCTGGTTTCACATGAGCCAAGGCCAGCTGGGGGTCCTTTTCTAGAGTGTGTGTAAGGACAAAAAGGGGTAAACTATCTTTCTGGGAGCATCCATGCACTGACTGTGGAAGCCCCAACCACTTCCAACACTACAACATTTTAATTAATGGCGCTAAGACGAGGAGTTTCCCATGTTGTATATATTTTTAGCCAGTTTTGGTGATAAATTTTCTTTTACTTCATATGAGGAAAGCAACAATTGTGACAACTCAAGTATATGTCGGTAAGAAATACCGAACAACAAATGCTTCTGAAGTTAAAGGACGTTGAAATTACAGCAGTTTGAAACGGCTCTTCTGTCACAGCTTTGCCATCATTTTTCCTTAACGGAAGAGTCTCGCTGCCAAGAGGAAAAAACATGTCTGAGATTGTGTTGAGACCACGATGTGAAGTGGGCAGGCAGGTCAGGCCATCTCAGTCCTGCAGAAGTTAGTCTGAGCAAAGTTTCCTGGTTCTGTTTACTGCAGACTGCCAACAGCAGAAACATTTCCATTCACCCTGCTTCACCTCGTTACTGAAACTACGTCTGAGGGAGAATGTTCAGTAAAAACCGGTGCATCTTTAAATAGAAAAGGTAGAAATCTATGTAGTAAAGACATAAAACAGCACACACATTCCTTCCCCGTCACCTCACACGTCAGCCTCCACTGTAACTGTAATCAGCAGCTTCCTTCTTATGCAATCGACTTCCGCTTTATGCTAATAGGTTCAGGAGACAAGGAAATAGCTGACACAATGGGTAAAAACAATGCCATAAAAGTAGTTTAGCCCACCTTGGAGATAGTTATGGCCCTCTTGAAGTCCCTTCCTCCAAAAATTCGGAATCCCCATGGAGACGGGCCGATCAGGTTAACCGTTAGCGCCATTTAGTAGTCAGATCAACACACGCTCTAGACAACAACCTAGAGGAAAGGAAAGGACACACAGTAGACATGATGTTAATTATAAGTGACAAGTCAAACCTAAACATGTGTACAGCTCAATGCTTTCAGTCCCATATTTCTGTCAGCCACATTTAAAATTAGATCGAACATTTGCATGAGTCTCCTTTCATCTCCAGCATCACTTCACTTTTATTGGCCCAAGTCCTCTTCACATAGATTGTGCAACCACATCAAATAGTAATGGGAAGGATCTGAAACCAGACACATGACCAGCATTGCTCAAGTGGCTGCAGAATCAAAGACGTTCATTAAATCCAAATGTTCTTTCAAAACTAGAAAACAAATAAGCACAACTCGTGCAAGCTCTTTGCACAAGGAGCTGAACATTTAGTTGCGTTTAAATGCATCCATCCAGTGTTTATCATGCATGCAGCAGTACAAGCATGTAGCACATCTGCAACACAAAAACCAATGAGAACATTGAAACTTATTTGTTTAGGAATATTTGTGGTTGAAATTTGCATGATCGCTTACAAATTTTGCTTCCTACAGACCGTTGTGAATTTTACACTGTAAATATCAATACAGTTTCAATTTAAATTATTGGATAATTATATGCAAGTCAAAATTGAGAGGTAAAAAGTCTTCACAACACAGCTTCTGTTCTGGTTTCATCAACATCTGGTTTTAAAACTTCTTCACTGTATTTATTATTTCTTAAATCACATAATATTTAAAAAACAAAAAAAACTATTTTTAAAAAGCTTTTATTTGAAATAAATCAGCCTCTAAAATACTACATGCTTCAGGATTATAATTCATGCAGACTGTTTCTTTCTAGAAGAATGTAACTTCATTGAGTCTCATAAGAGCAGATGTCATTAAAAAATCATTTAGGGGTTTAATGATCTATTCGGCTAATTTCATCGCACACGGATACAAATTTCCAACTTCTCAATAAAGCTTTGAATCTAGAAGCTTCCTGGTAAAAAAATATGTTGCCCTATCGCTCTGACGTCAAAGTTAAAATACCAACGTCTAGTCATTTTTTTCCATGTCAATTCCTGGTAGGTTTTTGTTAAGGTATAAGAAACATTTTCTGCTTGTCCCAATAAAATCATGTTATGTTGAAACCCTTGACCTTTGGCACATCTTCTTGAGTGTTTCTGGACCCACACTAGAGCAGAAAGAGGTTTAAAGCATTACACTTGTTTACGTGCTGCTCTTGGACTATAATATGTAATTTGACTGTCAGTTTACTCGGGCTCTGCTAGCTGTGGATGAAGACTGCCTGTTTCACGGCTGCATAAACAGAGAGTTGTTACGTGTTGATGGGATAAGTACTACAGGTTCTTGAACACATCAACACCTGAGCAGTCCCAACATGCATCTCAGCCGGCCTGCTGTGACGATGTCCAGAGTAGTTTCACCAAGAAAGCATGCAAAAAGATGGAGTAGACTTCATTTTAACTCCATTTTTGGTTTTTGGAGGTATAAAATGACCCACTTCTAGAAGCTGGCTTCTTTAACTGAGTAACTAACTACCTGGAGCAAACAGAAGACCACACCTCACTTCTATTCCAATGTCTCTGCAGTAGTTACCCATAAACTTTATAGTTCATTTTAGAATCCTGACTATAACTTTCAGGGCTACATGGTCAAGCTCCTCCCTATATTACTGAACTGTTAAAGCCTTGTGCTCCAACCCGAGCCCTCAGGTCCACTCACCAGAACCTTCTAGAAGTTTTAAAGACCAGGTGTAAAACGCCCCTTCCAGACTGTTGCACCCCAACTTTGGAATGATATTCCTTTATCCTTACGTAGCATTGACAGTCTGCACACTTATAAAAAACAGCTAGACCCTTTTGTTTAAATCTGCTTTTACCTAAATCTTTTATTTTCTTATTTGTAACTCAAATTTGTAATCATCTTTCATCTGTTTATGAAATTTTATAATTGAATGACTTTATTTTTTCTGATGTTAATCTATTTCTGTTTTGAGATCATTCTGATTTAATGACTTTGTTTTATTTTGTTTTGATCTATGTGAAGCACTTTGTGATTCTGTGCCTGTGACAAAATGTACTTACTACTACTAGATCATCAGATTAGTGATTCTAGTGGTTCAGTAGTACAATTTAACTGAATTATCAGAATTAACACAACTAAATATGGAACAGCATGATTAATATAAGGTCAGTGTGGAACTACAGCACAGCCAGCTAGGTGAAAGGAAATTATCTTAGCCAATAAAGCTATAAAACCCTGTCAGTGAGTGCAATATTATATAATGCTGTAAGATTACAAGGAAGCAATGGGACTTAACTAATGCTGGGTTTCTTCAATCTTTAAATTTTATTTAAACTTGGGCCATGTACACACGTAGCGGTGTTTAGTAAATCAAAATATTCTCCCCCTCCCATTTAGGGAAAAAAAACACCACCTTGTTTTCAGCAAAAACTAAATGTAGAGCATTGTGAAGCACATAGTTCCCAAAGTCATCAGCATCGTTCATGAAAAACATTCTTTGGATGTGCAATAGTTAGGTGGTGTCGTCCTTCAGGTGTGATTTTCTACAAAGAGCTTGTGTGAACACAGGTCACACGGGATGTCTGAGCATTTTTGTCCCATCACTGACATTGTGACACCTAAAACCCTGAGGCCTCATTTATCAAGCTTGCTTACGCACAAAACGGGGTCGGAAAACTGCGTAAGGAACTTTCCACGCAAACGTTGGGATTTATGAAAGAAAACTTAGCGGAAAAAGGTGCACAACTTTAAGTTGACTTAGGACCTGGCTTACGCACATTTTGGACATGGAGAGCACCTGCAGTGCTGCTGCTGAGAAGGACAATTATGAAATCCTGCAGCGTTATCACTTGTACCGCTTCATACGCACACAGAACAAGCCTCCCTACACACACACACACACACACACACACACACACACACACACACACACACACACACACACACACACACACACACACACACACACACACACACACACACACACACACACACACACACACACACACACACACACACACACACACACACACACACACACACACACACACACACACACACACACACACACACACACACACACACACACACACACACAGCCTGAAGCGCAGAATACGGAATGCAGAATATCAGCAGGGGGACAGATTGAGACAGAATGTCATGCGTCTGTGACAGTGTGTGTCCTGTCACTGTGACCCTATTGATCATGGCCTGTATTTGATATAGCGCCTTCTAGAGTCCTGGAACCCCTCAAGGCGCTTTACAACACAATCAGTCATTCACCCATTCACACACACATTCACACACTGGTGGGGATGAGCTACGATGTAGCCACAGCTGCCCTGGGGTGCACTGACAGAGGCGAGGCTGCCGAGCACTGACGCCACCGGTCCCTCCGACCCCCACCAGCAGGCAACGTGGGTTAAGTGTCTTGCCCAAGGACACAATGACAGTGACAGACTGAGCTCGAACCTGCAACCTTCCGATTACGGAGTGAGCACTTAACTCCTGTGCCACCGTAGCCCATCATGCGCCCTGGCTACTTGTACAGGGGAGAGCTCCGTTTGGCTGACTGGTTAGCATGCGTGACTTAAACCTGGGAGTCTGGAGATCGAATCCTGACTGGACCATTTTTTATATCCGCCACAGATCTCTCTGAAAAACTCACAACATTGACGGCTTCAGCAATGCCGAAAATCACTCTGTGGATTTTCTCTTATTTGTTTTGCAAAAGCACTTCCTTTCCTTTCTCCACCTCACCCACAGGTACCTCAATTTCTGCTTCTGTGAAATTGCGCTTCCTTGATCTGCCTTGATCTATGGTCGCAATGCCATTGGCGGAGCACTGCAACATATATGCATGAGATCCACAAGGCACTTTGCATTGACTATTTATGGCAGTAAGTGGGCGTGGTGAGGGCGGGATGTGACAAATGCAGCTGAGAAACATTCTCGTTAGTCTCCGATTTATGAAATGGAGATTGCGTGCAGCTGTGCATACTCCATGTTTGATAGATCACAAACCTACTTGGCGTAAGTACTTTTTTTTGCTGAGCTTAAGTACGGTTTTAGTAAAGATTCTACACAATGTTTGATAAATGAGACCCCAGGTTATTTACGCCCACCAGAAAATGCTGACAATACAGAATTTGCAAATCTCCGCTTTGGTCAGAGTTTTGGGAGGAATTGTTGTTGATGCCATACATCTTCACCTACGTGAGGATGATGGCCAAACTGTAGAAAATATCTTAGTTTTGTGGAACACTCTGCTAAGTGAGTAGAAGGTTTTAATAAGGTAATACACATTTATTTTTTTACAGGCAACGTGGAAATAAGTTTTTGTTTTTAAGTGGTACTTCACTCATGTTTTAATATGTTTGCAGTGGTCTCTAGTAGCAATGAATGCCTTGTAAGTGGTATTTGGAGGGAAAACGCGCTGGTGTGCCTGTTTCAGGAACTACAACTGAGCCAGATCAGAGCTGAGCTGAACATGACCTCACCTTGGATTAGCTAACAGCAACGTGACTCAACCACTGGCTCTGTTTGCTTTGCAATGTTGATGTTTTTTCTCCACAAATAACACAAGCCTGGAGGAGTTCTGCTGTGTGGTGGAGTTGTTATGCTAATGGATAGCTTATTCTTGCTATTCTTGCCAATAACTTAATAAATAACTAAAATATGTTTTTTCAGTGTAGTTGACCTTTAACAAACTAAATCTTTTAGAAAACCAAATGTAGCAAGGTGGATAAATGAGGGCCCGGGCGGGATTAGATCCCTAGACTCCCGGGTGAGAGTCGTGCGCTATTCAGTCAAAGGGATATCCTTGTGTCCAAGTAGCCAGCGTGCATGATCAATTGGGATACAGTGACAGGAGGCTCACACTGTCACACAAAGTATAAAAATATGTTACCATTAAAACTAAACATAACACCTAGTTCAGAGTCTTGTTCATTTAACTTGATGACGTCAGTGAAATAAAGTGTTGCATC